TACAAAGGGCCAAACCAACCCCTCTGTCTCTCTGAAAGTTCTCGGGCCTTGTTCTATGTTTCCCACCCTCACTCTCCTTTACTTTCTTATTTGCTGTCACTGCCAAATTCCTACCCCAGGGCCTTTGCACACCCTGACTAAATCTTATTTCTTCCTCTCCACTCACTTGAAAAAGCAACTTCCTCAGAACAGCCTTGCTTTATTACCCAGCCTACAGCAGATCTCTCATGCTGTTCCTTCTGATAGCTCTCTGCTCTTTCCCTTGGTGACTACGGCTGACTGGTGTGTTGCCTCAAAGTGCATTCCAATCTCCTTCTGGAAGGCCAGGACTATGATTAAAACTGCCTTTCCCAGGCTCCCTTCAAGCTGGGTTCTAGAAGTAGTTGAGCGCTGCCTAGCACACACACATGCGGGAGGTGGTGTTGCCCTGCTGTTGAATGAGCAGAGAGAGGTGGATAGAGGAGTTCATTTGACTGACTGGGGTCCTGGAAGAGGAGATGTGATTCTCACTTGGCTGCTTTTGTGGCTTCGTTGTGCAGGATGGTTTGGGACATTGGTTTTGGAATTCTTGCCTCGAGGCTGTTTCTTTAGGCCACTTTAACAATGTGAAGCCTGCTGTCTCTCTTCATACATCCCTTTCTGCTTAAATTGCTTAGCGTGGATCCCATGTCTATAATTAAGAGCGCTGACCCATAGAGAAACCCTCACTACAGCTATAGTGATATATTCATTCATACGTTCCCTTCTTACCTGGTGTCTCCAGCTAGCCTCTGTGCTCTGATCACAGCCAGGGTGATCCTTATGTCTAGAGCTCAAATATTCTTTGAGTGGGTAAGTAAGTAAATGATTAAAAAAAAAATTGCATATAAAGTTATAAGAAAAAACAAAATGCTGAAGTCACATCTTAGATATTTAAAACTCTAATGATGTGTCAGAATCCAGAAGCCAACACTTAACACTGCATTTCCAACTTGCTTGTTTCACCTGGCAGACTCGTGGCTGTGAGAGCCAAATTAAAACAAAAAACGAAGGACCGGGAACATGGACTCTGTTATGAAATGAGATAATAATCCTGACCATCATGATTTTGTTTCTCAAGAAATGTAATTTCCCTCAGACAGATTTCCCTGATGCTTTTTTATCACTTCCAAGAGGGCAAGTCACCCTCCGAGATGCTGGCATGGTACCTGGTACTTTCCGTGGGAGGCACAAGCTCTCTCCTGGGTGATCGCTGGCTGGCCCAGGAAGCTGTCAGATCCCGGAGGGCACGACCCCTGCCTGGCTTGGCTAATCATGGTTCTCCAACACCTAGCACACAGTCAGCACTCCGTAACTAAATGTGTTGTGCTGCATGTTATGTAAGCATAAATTCTGAGGAATTTCAGGCTCCTGGGTGGCTCAGTCAGTTAAGCGTCTGCCTTCGGCTCAGGTCATGATCTCAGGGTCCTGGGATCGAGCCCCACGTCCAGCTCCCTGCTCAGAGGGGAGCCTGCTTCTCCCTCTCCCTCTGCTGCTCCCCACTGCTCGTTCTTCCTCTTGCTGTCTCTCAAATAAATAAATAAAAATCTTTAAAAAAACTCTGAAGAGTTTCATAAAGAACGAGTTAGCATTATATTTGCACGAATCAATCACATATTGCTTTTTATACCCTATTTGTGTATGTGCATTTTCATGAATGCATGATCCCTGCCTCATACATGTAAAAATATATTTTCTACAGGCCTGGCCTTCTTTCACTATGGTAGGCTCTCTCTTCCTCTTCTTTTCTTTTTAAGATTTTATTTATTTATTAGACAGAGAGAGAGCGCAAGCAGAGGGAGTGGCAAGGAGAGGCAGAGGGAGAAGCAGATTCCCCGCTGAGCAGGGAGCCCGACATGGGGCTCGATCCCAGGACCCTGGGATCATGACCTGAGCTGAAGGCAGACGCTTAACCGACTGAACCACCCAGGTGCCCCCTGAGATTCCTGAGATCTGCTGTAGGCTGGGTAATAAAGCAAGGCTGTTCTGAGGAAGAATGGGACAGCCACTTGAACTAGAGACCAGATCTTTGGACAACCCAGTGAGATTAGTGGCTGCCAGAGGGGAGGAGGGCTGTTGGGGAGTGGGGCGTGAAATAGGTGCAGGAGATTAAATGCAAACCACCAGTTGTAAAATACATAAATCCTGGGGATGTAACACACAGCATAGGAACTTTGGTCAATGGTATTGCAGTTACCTTTGTAAGGTGACAGATGGTAACGAGACATGGTGGTGACCATTATGCATGTGTGTGCATGTCCAATCACGATGTTGTACAGCTGAAACTAATATAATGTGGTGTGTCCATTATATCTCAATTAAGAAAGTAAACACCTTGCAAGGCAGATAGGGTCATCTCTATTTCACAGATGAGAAAACTAAAGGTAAGGGAGGTTAAGTAACTCACCCGAGACCACACTGTTTAAAACTCACGTCTGTGTGATTATAAACCCCACAAGCTTGGACCAGAGAAAGAAGAGAAAAATGCCAAGTCATATGTTCATCCATGAAATTGAAATGTGATCATAAAAAAGACAAATCACGGGACGCCTGGGTGGCTCACTTGGTTGTCTGCCTTCTGCTCAGGTCATGATCCTGGAGTCCTGGGCTGGAGCCCCAAGTCGAGTCGGGCTCCCCGCTCAGTGGGGGAGTCTGCTTCTCCCTCTGCCCCTCACCCTACTTGTGCTCTCTCTCTCTCATTCTCTCTCTCTCTCAAATAAATAAATAAAATCTTTAAAAAAAGGACAAATCACTAATTTCACACACAAACACATAATTTTCTTCCCCATTACCTCCCACCACCAACCCCACCACAACCACACTAGTGAAATAAAATCTCATTTTCCAGGAAATGCAGTTTGGAAAATACTGGTCAGAATATGGCCAGTGACCTAGCCTTCATCCCCACACAGGCTTATTCAGACAAGATAACTCTGTCCTAGGGAGAAACAGTCCATAACCACAGACCTAGCCTCCCAGCCTCCCAGCCTCGCGGGGCCCCTTGCAATGGGTGCTATTCGTAGGATCCCAGAGCTGTATAAAGACAACCTGAGTGCCTCATTTGGAATTTCAAAGTCAGCTTAGCAGTTCTGTGAACGAATGTCAGTTCTCTCTTCTTGATGCTCCCTAGGAACGGAACTTCATATTCCAAAGTTCCAGTAAAATGTTCCACTGCATTCAAACACAATCTGATCTGTTTTAATGTAGGACCATCTCTCTCCCTTCTTTGGAACGGAGGTCAGAAAGGGTCTTCAACATATCTCTTCTGTAAACTCAACAAACTCCAGTTGCACTTACTCTTTGTTGTAAGGTTCCTTTTCTCTTTATAAAGTGTTTGTTTCTCTTCTCTGAACTGTCTCCAGTTTCCTTTCTTTAAAAAAAAAAAAGAAGAAGCAGAAATATGCATTTTGGGAAACAGAAAAGCTACCAATAATAGTTATGGTTATTCCTACTGTGGTTATGTTCTAAGAAGTTGCTGTGAACATGAATTAGTGAACACTGAGCCATTGCTCCTAAAGGAAATACAAGTTAGGTTCCTATGAGGCTCTGGTCACATTTCCATCCATCAGTCAATACCTAACCTTGTTTTATGTGTGTTTTTGTTGAAGGACACTATGAAATACATAATGTTGATTCATTAATGTTGAACTCACGGCCAATAGCACTGACACTACCTGAATGAAGCTTATGGAACATGCATATTCTTCTCTGGGAGGCACATTACAGCCTACTTAAAAAAAAAATTATTTATTTGAGAGAAAGGGAGAGAGAGAGAGCATAAGGGAGGGGCAGAGGGAGAGGGAGAGAAGCAGACTCTGCCCTGAGTGGAGCCCCATGCAGGGCTTGATCCCATGACCCCAGGATGCTGACCTGAGCTGAGATCAAGAGTCAAATTCTCAACCAACTGAGCCACCCAGGGGCCCCACATCTCAGCCGTCTTGTTCTTAGGTACAGTAGACAGCACTTGAGGACTATGCTTGGGGGCCATTTGAAACAGTGAAATCATCCAAAAAACAAAGCACACACATGCAAAGAATGTGGCCCTAAATAGATAGCCAAAAAAGACACTTTATTTAAGCATGAGAGCTGAAACAAGAAGGCAGCACATCGTCTTGTTCAGCTGGGACCATGAGCTTTGGTATCTCACATTTTTCTCTGCTCTACATGTGTCCATGAATCACCATGAAAGCATGTGGGTATTGATTTTGAGGTTATGAATAAATTTGAGCAAGTAGGCAATTTGCCTGTATTTTTTCCTTTCTATTAAGGGATGGAGGTCTGTTGCAGAGGGTAAACAAAAAGATGAGAAGAGGAAATGAGGCATTTTTTTTGGAGACCCAGGAGATCTTTGAAAATGATTTGTGAGAGGTACAGTACCAGAATAGTAGCTAACTGGCCTAAGGTAGAGAAACAGAATTCCTTGCATCTCCAGCAATCTGTCTGCAGCTTTCCTAGTGTGAAAAATGGCTTGCCATAATATGCAAGCTTTGTCACCATGTACACATAATTATATTTTAATAAAAAGTAGATTTATACCCAGACAAGCCATGAGATTAAATGGCCCAGAAGCTTTGTGGACCTCTAGCCCTCCAACACAGACTCCCCTACCTCCAGAGCAGCACTGACCTCCTGCCAGGGGATTGAACGCCGCTGACCCCAAAGGGGTGGTGAGGGGTCCTGCAAACCCCATCCTTTGCTCAGCATTTTAAATGTAAAGGTCGAAGATCTATCAGAATTCCACTTTGATGTATCAAAAGTTAAGTTCATACTTAATAGGAAAAGATAAAATTACTGATGTAAAGGAACTGCGACAAATCTAAAAACTGATGAGAAAATCAGGTAGTGAAATCCATTCAAAGCATGTACTCTTGTCAGGGCAACTGGTTGGCTCAGTAGGTTAAGCATCTGCCTTCTGCTCAGGTCATGATCCTAGGGTCCTGGGATCGAGCCCCACATCAAACCCCGCATCGGGCTCCCTGCTTAGCAGGGAGCTTGTTTCTCCTTCTCCCCCTCCCCCTGCTTGTGCTCTCTCACTCTCTCTGTCAAAGAAATAAATAAAATCTTAAAAAAAAAAAAAAAAAGGAAAACATGCACTCTTGTCATTCCTGTACATGTTTGCTGCTCAAGTCTGACTATTAAAAATATTTTTTTTTCTTCTACTAGAACAAGCTATTATTTGCCTTCTAGATTCTTCCAGGATTGTGTGCTGACCAGAAGCAAAAGGAAACTATTTCAGTGGCTTCTTAGACAAGCTTTGTGAGAGAAAACACATGGCTATCTGCAGAGTTGTAAGTGAAAGGTATGCGCGTTTATTTTCTTAAACAGACGGGGAATGAGCTCTGTAACCCTGACCTTGTTTTCTTGGAATAATATTCTCATCTGATTTATTCCCTTAGTTTTTACTCAGAAATGTCACTCAAGACACATACCGATGGTAACTCCTTCTTTTAGGTAAGCTTTTATCTTTTGTTTAAGTCTGATGTGTTCAGTGATGAATTTGGATGAAAACAAGTTTTCAAAAAACCCATAGACTTAAGCTCATTAGGCACTCATTAACATTTGGATTAAATAAGAAAAGGGGTAAAATGTTGACATTTTCCCCAAGAGATAGCAGTTCTCTACATTTTTATATATTCTATCACGATGTAACATCTAACTATATATTCTGATATATTTTAGATATATATAACTTTTAGTAACATGATTGTAATCTCCACCAATACATACATCCTGACTAGATCCCCATATGGGGAATCTATTCATATTTTCAGTAATTGAGTTTATTTTTTTCAGCAGACAATAAAGTGTCCAGAATCAAATAAATAAGGGTCATCTGACTCCCAAAGAACACGGCCAGAGTGCTCATAAGATCCGAAGAAGCTGAGTCAGATCATTTCCAAAGGACAAATGTAGTGCTCCTCCAGAATCAGTGACTTGTGGAATGTAGCAATCTTGCCGTGTATTTTCTCGGAGCCAAGCAGCCTGGTTCTGTCAAGTCCATCTTTCATCCCCTTCGCCTTCTGCCAAGTGTTAGTGTTTTCCTTGTTAGAAGAAGAATTTATGAATTCCTCCATTAAAATGGAACTGAGTCTATGAAAATAAAGTTGATCTTTGATGCTTAATTGATCCTAATTGATTCTTTCACTCGAAATATTAAGAGACGAAAGGAAAATGCTGTGAGATATGAATTAGGGGTGCAGTTTATGGACTGTAACTGTTGTGACTCATGGCAAGGCCTTTTAGTTATTTTATAATGAAAGGTTGTTGGGTGCAGCCTGAAGAGCAATGAGAAAATCAACAGAATGTTCTTGGAATGACTGCTGGCAAACTTTCTTTTATTTGTCCCTGTTCTCATTAGTAGAAAGAGAGGGCAGGTCACTTTCAGAAGGATTAAAAGGTCAAAGAACTTGGTGAAGGGAAGTCTACACAAGGCTTTAGAAAGCTGTTATCACAGGATCAGCTAGAAAACAGTCTTAGGGCTAATCCTTTGGCTGGATCCCAAAAAAAAACCCTCTACCCCCCCCTTTTTTTCCTTTATAGAGGCCATTTTCCACAAAAAGCCTCTCACTTCGCCTTCATGTCTTAGCCCAAGTTTATAGGATCCGAGTTGTTGTTTCTTCAGCCTAGCTCTTCCTAGCTCTGTCCTCTTCCTGCCTTTCTCTGACCTCTTACTGTCTTTGCCTGATATTATCCAGCATTCCCCCTAAGACCCTCCTAGCCTCTACAATAACCCAAGCCTTAGCTGATGCAGAACCTCTTTTGGAACAATGAGACTGACTTAACAATGCTGGTATTAAAGAGGACCTTGGAAGTCATCTGGTCTACCTGCCTTCTTTCCCCGCCCTTTTATAAGTAAACAAAATTCATGGAATTGCTCAAAGCCATGAAGCCAGGGAGTGAGCGAGTCAGGACTAGTACTCAGGGTGGTTGATTCTCTATTACCTCTCAATAATGGCTTGCAAATGAGTGTCACAGCCCTTTAACAGCCCAGACTGCTCTCCTCATCTGACGTAGTTAACCCAACGAACAAAATTGCTGTAGCTGGTGTGATGCCAGCTCAATGAGAGCCCTTGGCTTGCGTGTTTGAAAGCTGGAAGTTAAGCAGAGTGGGCATCTGCTTCCCACACAGAGCTCCACGATCTGTACTTCTGGCCATGGGCTTCAGTCCCTGCACCACAAGGGGGAAGTTGACTTTTCACTCCCTCAGAACCAATCTCACAAGAACACCCTCGTTCTCTTCCTCATCACTGAACTCTGTGAACCATTGCTCACCAGGAGATGGAGTGACAGCAATTGGGGGAAACCACAGTACATGTATAGGTTTGACAGGAGTTTACATAATGCTCTAGATAAAGGCACCACAGAAAGCCTTCAGCCTTGCTGGGGCTCTCCCTACCTCCTTCTCAGTCAAAGAACGGAAGAACAAAGAGGACTGGGTGTTCCATATGTGGCCTGCACACCTTGGTTCTTAGTTGCAGAGGGCAGGAGTCCACCTGGATATTTGTATTAAGGTTAAGAAGTTGGCACTCGAGAATGATGTTGAATATTTGCTATTCACTTTTTGTGGTTGGCAAAACCTCCTAATATCAAACTTTAGAATAAAGCACCACCTTGTGGTCTGATGCATTTATTAAAGTGGTAAAATTTGAGAGTGAAAATTGGAAATGCTCCCTCAGCTGGTGGCAGAGAAGCCCAGATTTGAAAACTGGCTTGGGGTAGTTGCCTGGAGGCAAGAATCTGGAGGGATCTGTCTACTATTTCTTGGGGTTCTCAGGTCGGTTCACAATAGCATCACCTTTTATGGAGTGGTTCTCATGTTTCCAACACCGATGTATCATGCGATTCACTTCTAGTAACCAATTTCAAACTTTCAAAGCCACAGGGAAATGGGTCTTATTATTTCAATGTAGTAAGGAAGCTGAGGCTGAGGCCACCAGTGGTCTGACCACAGATAAGTAGAGCACTTGGATTGGAAGTCAGTTCCTTCTAACACTGTCCTGCCCTTAACTACTTCCCAAGACCAAGACTAGGGTCCATCCACTTTGGGCACTCTGAGGGGACCGTGGCTCTGTGCTCTAAAGCAAATCAGAACCATCTGGATTTCATCCTATATGAAATTCATTCTCTTGGGATTCTTGAAATCCCACTCTCCAAAATTACCCTGGTAAAAAGATCTGTATTTGGAGAGACTTCACAAGCACCCATCTACCTTCTAAGAGGGCCAGAGATGAGGAAGTCATTTTGGCTTTTGAGGATGGGCCAGAGAGCAACTGGGCAAGTGACCAGGCCCCAAGTTGTTCCATGAAGAAGCAAAACCATGAAGATGGCAGATATTCCCTTGGACAATTAGAGTGCTTTCCTGAACCATATTTTATCTTTTGCAAAATGTAATTATATTTATCCTATAGGTTGTTTTAAAGGCCAGGGTGGAGTATCTGTTTGGCTAGTATATAAGGAAAGCAGTGGTAATGTGGGGAAAATAATATGGAAAGGGAGAACTTGCTCTGGTTATTGTTCCAGGGACATTGCAAGTGTCCTTGAGCAAGTCACTTCTTCATCTCCAGGTCTCTGTTTTCTCATGTGTAGAACAGGGGGTTGAACTTCACTAAAAGGTAGATGCTTCTAAGATGGTGTACAATTCAACTGTATGGAAAGTATGAGTTGGGAGCCTCAGCTTTGTCCATTTCCCTAGAAAGTCTGTCCTGCCCATACTTCCTTCCTATTCTCAACTGAATCCACTGCTAATTTTGGTAACACAATGACAGAGTGATGTTCAACAACTTTTCTTTCTTTTTTTTTTTTTACTAACAATGATTTGGGTGGAGCAGGGGATATTTGCTTTCTGTTTTTCCAAAAAAGAGATAAATCCACACAGTGCATGACTTCCTAGCCCTTTTCCACCCACCAAAAAGAAATACAAAAAGTGTTTTAAAGTAAAAAGAGGAAACACTGCTATGAATTTTCTTCTCTTGGGTGGCTGCTAGTCTGTCACACCAAGGCAGTGCATGCTGTTTCTAAGCCTCTCTCATTCAGTTTCACTCTTGTGCTCTTACTCTTCAGGTCAGACTCTGGATTTCTATTCGTTGAGTTATTCTTTTAACAGGTAATCTATATGAGTGGAGATTCTAGAACAGGTCTGTCCGAGAGAACTTTCTGCAGCGCTGTAGTCAGTAGCCATAAGTGATTATTGAACGTTTGAACTAGTAAGACTGATGGACTAAATCTTTAATTCTACATCATTTTAATTAATTTAAATTTTAATTGAAGTCATCACATGTGGCTACTACGTGGCACAGGACAATCCTACAACATTGTCATAACACAGATTTTTGTTGTCAACATTGTGGTTTTTCTAGGACACCAAGCATGTATCATAGCAGAACTATCCTTAATACTGACTTTACAGGCTTGTAAAAGACTGTTTCTCTATGTTGTTTTTCCTGAAAGCAGGATTACATAAAAATAAGAGTGTATCAGTCTTTGTGAATTGTATTCTGCCTTTGAGATGACTGAATTTTTTCTTAATTTCACACTAAAAGGGAGAGAAAGAATCCTTGTTTAATTCTGCAGGACTACAACTTACTCTGCAGTTGCAATAGAAAGAAAAGTATTTTCTTACTCGGCAGATGTTTAGAGTCAATAATAGAATAAGTTTGAATGTAATCTGAACATGTCTTTCAATTAATGACTATTTTTGATGTCATACATTTAATAATAAAAATAGGTTCTGTGCTTAAAAGTAGGGCTCTACCTAGAAGTGGATTTTTTTTCCTAAAATATTTGATATGGAGGGCAGAATTGGGGAAAAAAAAAACAACTGGTAAAGTTCTAAATGCTTTATTAGATAACTCCTATCTTGTATGAGTTCAAGTTACATTCCAAGTATGGTCCTAATTAATTAGCCTGGCATTTCTTCACTGGAACAAAGATTGAGCAACATGATCCATTTATTTTATCTCAAAATAAAACCATTTATCCTCAAAGAATATAAAGAGGTTTTCAGGTAGGTGACAGTCCTGAGAAAGTGATACCTCGGCTGGAAGAGAAGTCTACAAAGTCCTTTAAAATCTGTGGTAAAAGCACGAGGCTTGCACAAGAATGCATAGTGATGTATTTCAGAATTGTGAGTGACACCCGGTAAAGAAGAGATTCTAACTTTCATCCAGAATGAAGGGTGGCATCCTAGTGTCTTTTTCTCATCTGCTACACAACCGAGGTTTTCTGACTGGGACCATATGATGGCCTGCTGCCCTGGGCCTTTTCTTGCTTGACAATGATGACATGCAGACATCTTTATTCTAGGGGACCAGAGCTCTGAAGAATTCCTCATACATTTTTACCCTTGGTACAGAAAAATCATCTCTGCTCCAGAAAGTGACCCAGAACCCTCAAACTGCATTTCCTGAGAATGAGGCATTTCTCTTGTGCTCAGAAGCAAATAAATGCAAATCAACCTCAGGCCCTTAACATAAGCCAAAGTGCTGCAGAAAACCAAATGAAATCCATGTTTCTATTTCTTTGTGATTTGGTTTTCAAGGGAGTTTGTATTTGAGAAGACGTAGAAGTTACATTGGGGTACGAAGGCACATGTATGCTGTGAAAAAAACGTCTGCATCCCAGCTGACCATTTCTCAAGTCCTACGTCATATGGCCCATGTGGAGGAAATGGAGTTTCCCTGATGCCCACTTCATGCCCCCGCAAGTGGCGGAGGCAGAAAGAATATTCAGAACCATAGGACAGGAAGCGCCCTGAACTCAGTGACCCTAGAAACCAGGAGGAAGTTGGTCAAAAGCATTTGTCAGAGAGCTACCAGAGAAATGCTCACAGGCGAAAAATGTGTCCAGGGTTAACTAATATAACCCTCAGGCCGCCCAGTGTCTTGTTGGAGGACAGCAAACCTCCTGAGACCCTGATTGATGCCAACAGTGGTTCAAGCATGGGCATTTGGCTCTTGGAGGAAGAGAGACTGAGAATCTTTCACCACAATCGGTTTGCAAGCCTTGATCTGATGCAATCACCATTATAACCACACAAGTGAAAACAAAGAGGAAAGTAAAAGAACACAATTCAAGCAAATGTTGCAATGGAGGAAGTTCCTTTAGTTCCATCTGATGAAAGGTTTCCCAATTCCCCAGTGAAGATGAATTAGAAATTAATTGAGAATCATTCCC